ACTTAGTAGCTTCAAAGGCACAATGTGCGAGGGATCATTGGCATCATGCAAGCAACTTGCTTGGTCATTGCAGGTTCACCAGTTCACCAGCGAGCCTGCCCGTACCAAAGCCTCCAACTCCTCTCTGCGAAACCTGTAGTACTCATCATTGGATCCATGGGCCAGAACCACAACCATTCCTGAAGCAAGTTGAGTGTCAACTCTGACTTCCAGCTAAAAGCACAGCCAGCGACGAAGCCATGAAAATCTGAAAATCCAGTTGCAACCGGGGTGCCCTTAGGCATTTCAGTCAAGGTTGGGTGCCTTTCATGCAGAACTTTTGCCAAGTGTTGCACTCCCTCTCTCTGTCTCTCTCTCTATCTCTAGTCTACATATATATATATATATATGCACCGTGTGTGTGTGTGACACGCACCACTTCAACCCTTCGTGTCGCTTTGCGTCGCTTCGCCTGTTGATGAGCAACGTTGGCCCATCCCAAAGCCCAGCTCTCCACAGCCCGGTGGCATATGCACCTCCCTTCGACGCGCAAATCAGCAGGTCTGGCTGGAACTCGTCAATGGCTTGCTTTAGGACCTAGGTCCCTACCGTAGGGTCGCATAGAAGAGAGCACGCTGTGCATACCAAAAAATGAAGGAGAATAAAAGAACACGTACTGAGTCAACCTGTTTTGCTCTGAGCATCTGGGAGAAAGCTGGCGATGGGAAATTGCGGCGTCTCGGGGTTCGGCAGGTTATAGACCCATCGAACCTCGGAAGAAGCAGTGGGGCGCATGGCGCATGGCCCACACCTGAACCTTGAAGCCAATCATTCGAGCTGCTTGAAACCCTGCCGCATCCAAAATCTGGCCTGCCAGGCACATGCTATCAACATGTCATCTTTCCACTTTCTTCAACAGCCACGTGTGTTTCTTCGCTTTCGCAACTCAGCTGCTCAAAACATGCTCAAACTCTGACCAGCCTTGTTGCGGATTAAGTTCGCGGCCAAAGCCTGGGCCTACCACTAACACCTTCTTTTGATTGCGCTCATAGGGAGGACCCTCGAGGGTGGACGGAACCTCGGTGCTTCGGGCAAAAAGCCTTCGCTCAACAAGGAAGCCCGCGAAAGTGCAGCTGAAAAACTCGGCTTGATTGGCGCGGGCTTGCCGCTGGGGTGCTTGGGCGAGAGTCCCCTTTGAGATGCTCATCCATGTCTGGGATCCTTAAGCTGACCGTAGGGCGAACGGTGTCTGGAGCTGACCGTGAGGCTGCAGATCCAGCTGGACTTGGGGCACGTTCTCTGTGATCGTCCAAGTCCAAAGAAGTGGCCGACACGTGCCGGGGTGCCGGGTGTGGAAGGCTGCCAGGGGAAGCGCTGGGTGAAACTGCCGTGGGCGTGGCAGAGAACGGTGGTGTCAGTTGTCCACTGACGGTCGTGCCATCGGATGGCACCTTATCAATGGAATCATCGTGTCCCAGAATTGCTCTGCATTTCACTGAGGCTTTGTCATGCTCCAAGTCTTCAGAATTGGACTTGTCTCTGCCAGAATGTGACGCTCGCCTACTGCTTTCTCCATCAAGATCCGATGAAGCATCAGAGGGAACAGTGTTCACAAAACCTTGTGGATTCGATTGGCTGTCGGCATCTTCCTTTGATGGTGAGGTATTGAATGGCAGGCCGTCCTGGTGCAAGACGAAGTCGCTGATGCTACTGTCCTGGCCTGACCCTTGGATGTTCAGCGACGAAGCTGACAGGACACCATCTTTGGGACTTGATTCGGATTCGCTGGCTGTCTCACGGTCTGGCTTCGTCGATGATCGACTTGACAGCTGGGTCGTGTCCTTTGGGCAGCTTTCTTCAGCATCAGGGTTCCACTGCCCTACATCCGCAGACTCCGCATCCTGCACGGCATCCGCAGCATCCTTCGCAGGCGCAGTGAGTTGGTGCGGCTTACGAACCAGCTTGCCAAACATGTCTGGAATGATGGTGCAGGTCTGGGCATCACTTCTGAGGCAAACTGTCAAAGATCCCGCTGGGATTGAACTGGAGGTCACCGTGGCCACAGCAGACACGACGGCAGGCTGCCAAATGGAGCTATGCAGGTCCAGAACTTCGACTTCATCACCCTCCAGAAAATGCAGATCTTCATCTTCCCTGGGGAGCTTAGGTAGTTCAGACCGACGCACTGCCAAGCTGCACAGCTCTGGGGTGAACCACCTGCGTTTCAGAACGATCAACAATGAATCGCTCTCTTGGTATGTGGCACTGCAGCACCGAAACCTTGTATTTCGTATGGCTCATGCTATTTCAGTGGTTGAGCTACTAAATGTGTTTGGGCCCAGCCGCCTCAAGGTGCCCTTCATAGACACCAAAATGGACCCAGCAGGCAGCTCCATGGAAACCAGAGTCATGGGCTTGGAAAGCACCTGGCACTGCGCCATGTGAAGCGCCCAAAAACACACCGCACAAACCCAACTAAAACAGCAACCAAAAAATACAAACGTCGGCAGATTCCACCATCCATTTTGGCGCCTGAGTCACTGCACCTCCCAATTCCCACTCCAACGTCTCGTAGCTCCAAAGATCGACCACCTCAGAATGGGCGTCGAAGGAAACCCGCGGTGTTAGAAAAAAACCTTTTGGCAAAAAGAACTTCAGCAGCTGAAGAATCGGATGAACTTTGAAGCCACGGGTATTTAAAGCCGGGAGCCAGGTTTGAAGCCTACTTCTTGACATATTTTGAAAACGAGGCTTCTGCTAGGCGTGTGTTCGGTACTTCAAGTGCTGTCTGACCTACAGTGTACAGGGTACAGCTTGCCTTCTCGCTTCCAACGAGTTAACAGAGCGTTGTCGCATCAAGCAGGCAGTCTACTAGGGGCTCCTGGCCTTACTACTAGGAGCAAGGGCCTTACTACTAGGAACAAGAAGCTAGTAGAAACAATATATATATTTTTTTTATTAGAATTTAACTTGTGTTGATGAATGAACTCCTCTCTCACTCTCATTGCTGGATCATGAATCATGCTGGAACTCAGAAGGGCCGTTCATAACATTGCCAACTACACAAATACAAAGCCGGGCAACATCTCCTTCAGAAAAGGAAAACTGATCCTGCAAAGCTCAAAAAGCAATCCACGACCAGCTCGGCTCAGCAAGTCTGTGCAAATTCTCGGGCCTCATTTCGAGCTCCTTCAGCCGAATCCGCTGAATCCTCCGACTCCACATCTTCGTTGGTTCCCTTCGAATCGCTGATGGCACGAGCATCATTCGCACCCAAGCCAAAGAAGGAAGAGACCGCACCGAGCCTTCGCACACGAAACAAGGGTATTGGGAGAAGACCGATACTTGAGAAAGAGACAAATTGAAGGCATACCAAACCCTTTAAAGAGGACCTTACCTTCCTTTCTTCCTCTCTTTTCCTTCTCAAGCGCCGGTTCTGGAAAAGCTTTGGTTGTTTTGTCTTCTCTAGCGATCTCGTAACTTCGTGGAAAAACACACTCCAACAGCTTTCGTATGCGCGTCGCCCGGCACGGCAATGCAACTGACAGACTGTTGCATACCAACCCCCTGAGAGACTCATTCCATGTGACATGACAAAAACAGGTTGAGCATGCCGTTCACACTGGCTGGATCCTACAGTAGAACTTGCCACCATGCCACATCGACGAGATTGAAGCATTAGCATTAGCATAACCCGCTGTTGCCTTGTCCTTGACCAAATCGGGAAAGAGGGTGAATTTTGAATGGCACGACATCCAACCAATTTGCATCTTGACTAAACAAGTACTGCAAACATTTGCAAAATCCAAAATGCAAACTGTCCAGATTCTATTTCGTAGTTACGGAGTGTGGCCGAGCATCTGTCAATACCTCACTCAATGCATCACCGAAAGAAAGACGCGTGCACGCAACCTTGTGACCGTAGTCCGGCGTGCTGGCCGTCGGACTATCGACGTCTAGCAACGTCGAGTCTGTTTGGAGTCCGTCAACGCTTGGTGACACCTGTGCCAGCGTCGAACACGGGCGCGGTGCGTCATGACCATTACTGCAGCCTTGTTCTGTTTGGTAACGCGCTCGCACCCACACACATACACACGCCCAGCCTTGTTCATTCGCAGCATCACTCCTGGAAAAGTAAACTTTTGAAATCTCCTCCCCACAAACGGACATGGAGCCAAAACACTTCCTGAGCCCTGCACACTGCCAATCATTCAGGAACAGAGCCCAAAGAACATATAATTTGTATATATATATACAGTATATATCATATACTGTATCTGTGTGTTTGTGGGTGTGTGTGCGCCCATTAATTACAATATGGACTCGCGGCTCGGTGGATCCACAAAGCAATGATCAACATCCAAAGCCACCTGCCTATGTGTTCCTGGCTGATCCACATGGTTTGCGATCCATCCAAGGAGGAGACCGCGACTGAACCAGCTGGCAAGACCTCTGTTGCAGTGCGTCTCCCAGACCGCACAGAACCTCCTGTTTTTTTGGGGGGAAGGGCTTCTATACCGACTCTATGGTCACAAGCGGCAAGAAACAGCGGCGTGCCGCGTGCCAAGAAAATGTGCTTTTTGGTTAGATGTTTCAGTGGTCACCAAGTTTGGCTGAGCTGCAGTGCCACCGTAGGCTTGCGGTGCCGAAAGGACCTGGCTCACCAGCCCTTCTTGGTCAAAGTTATCGGTAGCGCTGTTGAAGGTGTGCCTGACACAACTCCATTTACAAGCCACCCAAGGCAACCCCTCGAAGCCAATCAACAGCGACACAAGAATCTCTCTGCCAATCTCTTCATCACCAAGCTGCACTAGATCTCCTACCCGAATCGGCGATGGCATGGTGCAACGAAGCCCTATCTAACAACCAGTATCTCTTGAGGACAAATCTTTGAGGACGGGCATCGAGGTTCAACATCAACACAAATTCCTGTTGGGCTTGGTTGAGCGCTTCAACAACTCCCACAGCAGTGATTCAGCAAAAGCGACCATCATTGAGCAGGTCAAGCCCAAGGACACAACTCCCGTCAATGTGTCCATAGCTTTGCATATGGGCTGCAACCTTACAAGCAGCCAGGCCATGTCGACATGGAGGTTTCTGACAACAGCGATCCACCGGAAACAGTGACCATCAAGAGCTTAAATGTCTCAGTGGCAGCCTTCCCTCACCAAATCCGCCCTGTCATGAGGCTGAGACGAGATACTCATGCCGCGGGATGTAACTGCACAAAGCCACCTGGAAAGGTTGGAAGACCACGGGGGATGCAAGTGAGAAATGGAAATGTCAGATTGAATAAAACAGTACTGTACATACCCTAGAAGTCCCAAGACTATTTGACCGACTGAAGTAAAGGAAATGCCTTTTCGGGCCACCTAAAGACAATTCTTTGTATAGACTTTGACTCCCAGGTATAGTACAGCCCAAAGCCCCAGCTCTGGCGGAAGATTAGGTGAACATTTCCGCCATGGGAGGCTGATCCTCTCAATCTTATTCGACTCGCTGGCTTCCACTATTGGGGCCGAGGGAGTCATAGTAGGCGGCTTCGAAGACCTTGGGGTCCCCCACACTCCATAACAGTTGTGTGTGTGCGCGACTACGAACAATGTACACCCAGGTGCACCCCTTTTACCGCATTACTATTTCCATCTCTTCCCCAGTGTGGGACGTCTTTCAGCTACCACTGAAGTCTCTGGGCGCTGATCTTGGTTGGTTGGTTGTTTGGCGGCGGTTGGTTGCTGTTTGCTGCTTCGCTTGACTCACTAGTCAAGTCAAGAATATGCAGGCTTGGCGGCCTTGTCCATTAAAAGGCCACTGCTGAGTTCCGGGTGGTGGTATGAGGCCTTCTTTCACACCAGTGTTCCAATTCACATGCGTGACACAACCTCCTGAGAGTGGCAAAGAGAAATCAACCCTCAGGGCTCGCGCTGCACTATGAGCAAGCACAAGTAATTATACACATAGAAAAGAATAACTGTACTTCGGACCCAAAAAATCATGTAAGTGCCCCTGACTTTCCAGAAACTCTCAGCGACTTGAATGACAAACCACAACGCAAAGCAGTTCTGTTCACTCCGTGAGGCCTGAACACACCAAACCTCCAGGAGAGGTGCCAGTATGGCCCCAAGCAGTGCAATTCTGCGGCAAGGCGCCAGCCTGGCAGAATTCAATGCTTGGAGGTCAAAGACACGCCTTTCTGGCAGCTCATAGCCTCCACCCAACATTGAAGCCTGAAAGCACCAGGAAACCGTGAAACGCTGGAAGAGAATTCTCAGCCATAAGGCTGCTAAGGGTTCTGCTGCCGAAGGTTCCAAGATCAACGGCAAGGCTTACCTTGTGCGCTCACAGAAGATTGAACTGCTGCTAAGGCCAGCTGGAGAGACAAAGGAAACGTGCTGAAATCAAACTCACCATCTTGCAGCAATCTGATACAAAAGGAACTGGTCAAAACCACTTTCTGTCGCTTCCAAGTTGCAAGGTCCAAGGTGGCGGCAGATGTCCCCACAACGACCAAGGCCCACAAGTCCCAATCACACAAAGTGCAGCGGGCCTTGTTTCCCACCTCACGCGCATTCACCGCTCACTACATATAAAGGCCCCCCCAAACACCTGAGAAATGACTTTCGCACCAGCCTCCCTTGATAGCTCGAAGATTGAAGGACTTGAGGGACTTGAGAGCTCAAAAATGCTCCCGAATTCTAGCTCAATCAAACCAAAAAATGTGACCAAGTCCACGACCAGGCAAGTTAGAAGCCCGAGCATGGACAGCAGCTGTCTGGAGCCAAAAGCATCACTACAATGGCAAATGACTGCCCTTGTGGGCCCTGCTTCATACTTCTGCAGTTCCAAATGGACAATAACAGTACAGTGCTGTAAATAATCCATTCCCTGTCACCCTGTGGCAAGACGAAGCACTTGCACACCAAAGCATGTCAGCAGCAGCCCCGCGAGCCTTAAAAAGGCAACATGTTCAGAATGCATGCAGTCTGACAAGGAAAGAGCTGGTGCTCAGGACATTGCAACCAAAAGGCCATGGAGATGAAATGAGACAAGATCAAATACTATGAAATGGAGGCCTACTTAGGCTTCAAGTTAGTTTTGGTCTGCCTTCATGCTTGCAATACAAAATCAGAATGAATGACCGTGGTGAGGTTGAGATGATACAAGATCGGGTGAAGTTCGGCAACGCCAAAGAGTGGGTACGGTGGATGCAACCGTATCAACGAGGAAAACATTCTCTACCTTACAGTAAATCGTGGATAATTGTAGTACCTCCAATCATCTCAGGGTAGATGAAAATGGCTCAAACATGAGAACTGGTTCAAAGTGAATGGACTGCGGCTCGCCAACGGCCCTGGATAAAAGCTCCTTTTCCATAGAAACGAATCCCTTCATTTTAGGCAGCACCACATTCAGTATGTTCAGTTTCATCGTTGTGTCGGAACACACTCAGCTCAGCAAGCTCGTGAAATCGTGTCTTCACAGCCTTATCATCATGTTCACCCGGCGTTGTCACTACCACGCAAAACTGGAATACCTTCGAGCGAAACAACCCATTCAAGCTAAGCTGTTCAGGCATCCCGACTGCGTGCGACGCGCCTCAAGCTCCTCAATCGTGCTCCTGCACCCGCCAAATACTGTAGATACCCTTACCCAATGTCCACTTTCCGAAATTCAGGAGGTGGAGTACCAAGCATGATGAACAAGATTTCAATCCCAAAAAACGGCCTGCTTTAGAGTTTATATACTAAGATTGTTCCTGCTGTGAATTTGGCAAGGCTGGTTTGTTGTGAAGCAGTTTTTCTCATCTGTAGGCAGCCGCCAGCCTGGTGTAGCTTTGGAAGCACCAACTGAACCTGAAAAGTTCACCCTCTGTCCTCACTTCGTCTCAACAATCTCTCCCTCTCAAAAATCTCTCTGTCTCTCCTGCTCTTGGGCAGCCTGGGCAGCTGCACATCCCATGTTCCCCGTGTCCAGGCCCCAAAACAGGACATCGTCGCAGCATTGACTGCAAGACCGCCACCTTTTCGCGCGAGACCAGCGAAAGTCAATCCACTGTGTGAGACAAGGCATAGCCAATGAGTAAGACGCCAAAAGCTCTGCACATGGTTCGCAGGCCGCCAACGTGATAAAGCACTGCGCCGATGAGAGGACCTAGAACATAGCCAATCTGCTGGCCCAAGTTCAACAGTGTCCACGTGGCAGAGGTGTCGTCAAAGTTTCGACTGGCAACATCCTCGAGCAATCGAGGCACTGTGGCATTTTCAGCACCGAGCGCTAGGCCAGCCACGACCAGCTCTGCGATCAAGCACATGAAAGACTTGTCATCAACAATGAGTGCACCAGAGCCAACCACCAGAAGACCCGTGAGCATGATAAGCCGGAATCCAATGCCTTGAGCAGCAGGCCCCAAAAGCAGGCTTGTGAGTATCATCGGCCATGCCTGGAAGAGCCAGGTGAAGCTTGCAGGCACCACTCCGAGCTGAAAATCCTCAAGGAGATTCCACTGCAAACACCAGAGTGGTCTCTCCAAAGCTGAACATGATTGGCACAAAAAAATTTGAACATGGTTAGAATATTGGTACAAAATGGTACAAAACTGCGAAGCTTTTCTGTTCGGGCAAAGTTGCGGTCTCATGTACAAGCTTCTTGATTTGTGCGTGTCATCTTAGATGATCTACCGCTCATGAGTGAGTGCTTGCTATGGACTTTTGCACTCCTCCTTTGGCCTTTTGGGTTGTTACTCTTAGGCCAACAAATCCTCTATGGATAGAAATTGTGGACATGGTGCACGGATTCCTTCATCAAATCCTGCATTTCGTCCATCAAAGCTCTTGTGCCATTTCTATGGCCATGAAACCAATTCGCTTCCATCTTTAGAAGCTCTTCTCGGGCAATCAAGTCTGCACGATTGTATGCCCGATTGAAATGGACAAACTGTCCGTCCGGAATCCTAATGCTTTCCGGCTCCCATGCAGCATCTACAACCTCAGGCGCACTTTCGCGCTCACTTTCCATCTCGTGGTCTGGTACTTCATCTTCTCCAGGTGAAGGCTCTGGTTCCACCATCGATGTGTCACCAATCTGATCTCCTGATGTCTCACCACCTGCCGGCTCGACATACTCCACTGGGACCTGCACAATTCGGCCACCATCCAAAATGATGACTGCCGTCTCTCCACTTAGCCCGGGTTCTCCAGGATCAACATCAATATTGACAATGCCGGCACCAGGAAGCTGCTCTCCTCTTTCTTGCTGAATCGTTTCCATCTTCTTCCACCTTTCTCTCAGCTCCAGGCCCTCGTGCCATGTGTTGATCTTCTGGATGTAGTTCAGGCTTTGCCATTCAACTCGCTGAACTGATGGGTCTTCTACATGCCCTCCAAGCTTGATTAGCCCTCGGTGCACTCGCTCCACGTAGTCTGCAGTCATGGAGTTCTCCTTGTCCATCTGCTCGATGTTGTCCTTGTGGGCTTGTTCACACATTTCGACTCGGTGCTGTAGGAAGGCGACTCTCTTTTCCAGACTTTGAACCTTGCTCCATAGGAACATGATGGCAAACATCAGAAAGCCGAAGATGACCAGGCCAAGCCACCACTGGAAGGGGAACATGTAGTTGATCTCAATGTAGTTCTCCTCAACCTTGTTGCCCGCGGCCAGCTCAAGACCGCTCAGGAGAATGATCCTGTTGAGGTACTTTGCCATTCTCATGATCTTCCCTTTCTCGACGTGGCTCTTCTCAAAGTCCTGGTACTCCTGCTCACCTACGCGGCTTCCATCTCCATTCCTGGCGTTGCACCAGTAGAGCAATAGCCTGAGCCGTGCTTTCGAAAGTGGTTTCGTGCCGATGTCGGCCAGGTTCAGTGTGGTACTGATTTGTTTGACCTCCATCGTGCCTTCTGCAACTTTATTCTGGCACCAGAGGAGTTTGCCACTGATGTGGCGAAGTCGTCCAGCTCCACGCTTGTTGGCAATCTGTTTGGTGGCGGAGTTGTCGACCCAGCAAACATGATGTACTGGATCTCCTGTGAGAAACTCCAAGGCGTGCTTGATGCATATGCCATCACATGCGCCAGCCACCAATGCATGTAGCTCACTCTCTGCTGATGAGAGGCTGACAACTTTCTGGCCTCTGGAGGTGGTGTAGATCACCATGCCGTTCAACCCGTGAATCGAAGACGAAGTGCTCTTCCTTGTTCCTCGGTTGCCGCTCCAATCAGCATCCGTGAAGCTCTCAAGCAACCAAGTCTCATGGCTGTGACCATGTAGTCCTTCTCCTTGAACTGGAAGGGGTAGAAGGATATGTTGCTCTTCCGTCTCTTTGAGGTACCCAACCAACCTCCTTGCCTTCTGCATGGCCAACTCCGTGGGGTTTGACATCTTTCCTGCTAACTCCTTCACAACGAAGCTAATGTCCAGGCGTTCTTGTGAAAGGTAGATGCCCATGCCGACAATGGAACGATACACTGACGCGTGCTCTGGGGGAACAACATTGGATCCATCTGCGTCCTGGATGTCTGAAGTGGCAGGAAGTCTTTGTCTCCTCACAGGGCCATATTTGTCCTCGAAGGTCTTGATCATTTTCGTGGCATACTGTCCAGGCTTCACCAGCAAACCTTCTGGGACATAGATGTACTTGCGCTTCAGGAAGGCGAACTCATCGTTATAGTTTCTTACCATGGACACTTCCACCTCGAACTTCTCCTTCAATTTGCACACAAAAGCGTCCACAGCTTTCTGCCTTCCAGTGAACATCACATCATCGACGTGTACCAGCACACAGATCAGTTCACTGTCCGTGCCCTTCTTTCCAAGGCATGGGTTCACCACGTCAAAGGCGAAGTTGAGCTCCTCCTCAAGATAAGTTCTCAAGAACTCATACCATGCCTTTGCTCCAATCCTCTGACCTGGAATGTTCTTGAGGACCTTGTAGTAGCCAGTATTGGTCCTGATCTGAAGAGGTCGTTCTTGGGGAACCTGCAGGAATGCATCCTTTATGTCAAGTGCACCCAACACTGGCGGTCCCTGCTCTCCATCAATGCCCTGACTCACCACAATGTTGTTCAGGAACAATGCAGGCAGAAGTCGAAGAGAGTGTTGTCCTGAAGCTGGGCTATAGACTTCATCGCATCGATCATTTGCATATTCTCTGGCTACCAGCCTCGCTCTCCTCAACCAACGCTTCCTTGACTTCCCATCAGGTTGTGGATAGGGCTTAATCCTCCAATCATGGACAAAGCGAGTGGTGAGCTTGTCCAAATGAGCGTCCTCTGGTTTGAGCTTCTCCATGACATCCATCCTCATCAATCTCTGCTCCTCCACCTTGTTCGCCAAGAGGTCTACCTCCCAACTTGGATCAGGAGGTGTTTTCGTCAAGGGAGCATCACTCCAGAGCTCTTCAGGGATGGCACCAGGTTTCAAGTCCTCAACGTCTTCTTCTCCTTCTTCCATGGCCATCGTCTCAACGTCCACCACTTCGTCCAGGTGGTACATGGTGTCTCCTCCAACACACACCTTCTCCACTCTGCGTTCCACGAGCTGTTGATGTCCAGATGAGCTTGCTCCTCCTTCTGGTGGCTTCTCTGTTCTCGCCCGTTTGGCCTCTGGCTCGGCCCTGACTGCAGATTCTGGAGGAGGGAGTTTCTTCAGAACTCGTCCTTCAGGAGGTAGTGCGTCCTCATCCCAAGGAAGCGGTTCAATGACCATTGGAACTTCTCCTCCTGCGCCCCTCTCCCCAGGTTGATCTCCAAGAGCTGGGGGTGTCAGCAATCCTCCACTGGGCTCTCCTCTCTGTGGGGCTGATGGTGCTGGTTCTCCAGCCTCTGCAATCATTGCTGGTGCATCAGGCTCACGGGCCTCATCTATCTCTCTTTGGCTTTCCTCCTGGCCCTCTTTGGACAATGCATAGCGCTCCACCTCCTCAGCTTCTTCATCTCGATACCTAAACAGGATTTCATCTCGAGGAGGTGCTGGACCAAGTTGCAGTGGAACCGCACTTGCTGCTCGCTTGCTAGGAACAATGCGCCCACCAAAGTTGATCTGATACTCATAGGTGAAGGTGGCAAAGTTCTGGTAATAGGCTCCGAAGTTCTTCCATGGACGGTCCACTCTTCTCACAGACCTGGTCAGCATGACTTGGCTGCCGTCTCCCACGATCCAGGAGTCTTGACCCTCAGTCTTTCCAAGAAACAGGGTCATCCGCCATCGAGGGTTGCCCTTGCCTGATTGGGGCTTCACAAAAGCATACACGGGGCATCCAAAAGGAACCAAAGCTCCATTGTAGGTCTTGCCGTGGACCAGTTCGTGACTTGTGATGCCCTTCGTTGCTTGAAACTTGTTCAACAGCCAGCATGCATGACGCGCCGCCCAACTCCACAATCCATGGTTGGTATTGAAAACCTGACCAGTCTTTGCTATGACCTCACCCATCAATGTGCATGCAAGGCCTCGTACTCGTTGGATGGCGTTCTCAGCAAGGGAGTTGCCTGCAGAATCTTTCACCTTTGTGGTGTACAAGCGAGTTCGAAGTCCCATAGCATGCCTGCTATTCAAAAGAATCCGGAGGAGGGAGCGAATTGTCGGCTCGTTGTCCCCATATAGTCCAATCTCAACATGGCCTAAACTCTGGACAAAGTTCATGATCTCTCTGGCCATGAGGTTCAATTGTCCTTTCGATTGGAGGGGAACGGCTCCCAAGCTTCCTGTTTGGCTCTCTGATCCTGGGCTCTCTAGCCTCTGGTTGCTCCTCCTGGTCATAGAGGTCGATCGCCATTCCATCATCATCAGGATCATGGCCTGGATCTCGAACGGTGGGTGCCCTGTCCACTTCGCCAGCTTTGGTGTAGGCAAAGTCCAAAGAAATGATTGGAATGCCACCAGTGTGAGAAGATCCTGTCCTCAGGTGTCTGTCCGGCCTTCCTCGGTACTTCAAGCAGACCTCGCACCACGGTTGATATGGCACGTGTGTGAGTGCATGAAGATCCTGCACCTGCTGTGAAGGGACCGGGATGATGTTCTGCATCTTTGGTTGTCTTGCCATCTGTAACTCTGCGGCTGCAACTGCTTCTGATGCCGCCTTCAGTTCACGTTCTTTGAGATGGCTCACAATTCTCTGAAAGCATTTAAGCCGACTGCCTGACTGGCTGATGCCATAAAAGTGACAGGCTGCTCGGAGTTCTCTGAGTTTGCTTGTCGCTGTCAACTGAATGTCATTCACTATCACATGGTCCGGCAAGCCAGCTTCTAGCACCAAACGGCCTTCTTGCTCATCTGCTGTTGCTCCATCACCAGCAGCTGCCACCTCAACAGCTGCTCGATCATCAACTGCTTCTGCATCACCATCTTCTGTCTCCTGAAGCCTCTGGGGCTCTTCCATCGGGATCTCGTGCTCCCTCAATGCCATGGCACCTGGCTCAACTCTTGGCCTCAAATCAAGACCAGTATCCACTTCGAATCCCATCTCCTCAGTGCTCACCTCCTCAGGAGTGAGGATGGTCAAGATCAAGGTGTTATCCTCGACATTCTCAATCTCCTCCTCCTGATCTGCAAGTCCATGGAGGTTCTCGCACATCTCATAGAGTTGCCACTGACCTTTCACTCTCACCAGCGTGGTTCGCCTCCAATCTGTCGTCGAAGGAATCTCGCCCACGAACTGTGGTGTCTGGAACTTCTTGGCCAGATGTACTCCAACCCATCGGTTGTCCACTTGCTTCCATCCAACTTGATATCTCGCCTTCATCTGGAGGTCGTCCAAGAGCTTGGCCTCCAACACTCTCACCATCATAGGACCTGCAGGCTTCTCAACCACTGTGCGTAGATGTCCAGTGGCCACCAAACTACGGTTTTGCAGCTGAAGTGGAATCCTCACAACATTGTGCCCTAGACCAAACGTCATGGAATGTTGGCCTCCACTCATCTGCCCCGCCTCTATGTTCCAGCCTGCCTCCATCAACTTGCCATACGAAATGATGGGTTGGCTAATTTCATCTGAGAAGTGGGCCTTGTCGAAGATCTGCACTTCCTTGTCGTTGTCCGCCTTGAAAATGAAGGAGACCTGCTTGTAGCCGCGCACCTCAATTGGTACTCCTTGAGCATCTTGGAGCTTGGGTGCGCCCTCATCCAGCTCGGTGCCAATATCCAAGTAGGAGCTTGGGAGAATGGTTGCATCAGCTCCTGAATCGATGATCACCTTTACTTGATCCTCTTCTCGCATGCAATTCTGATGCCCTCGCACAGCCATGATGTGGTAGATCTCCTGAATGTGGTCGTCATTGGGCTCGTGCTCTTCAGAGATGGAGAAAAACTGTACCATTCTGATCTGTCTACCAGCTGTGCTCGGCATCGACATTGGCCTCAAGTCAAAAACCATGGGCTCATTCTCGAATTCAACTTGTGAAACTCCTTCAACTCTTTTCACTGACCCAGACTTCCAGCTTGCACCTTGGCTCGAAGTGGTAGTGCTCGAAGCCACCGTCCCAGTTTCTGCGCTCGGCTTAGCTTCACTCACCTGTCGAAGCCTCTGCCAGCAATCCTTCGAGAAGTGTCCTGCTTTGCCACAGGTGAAGCAAGTCTTTTGGTCTGACTTGCCTTTTTGACCTTTCTGGCCTTCTCCCTTGCCAGCGCTCTTCTGCTGGGATTTGCCACCGAAGTCCTGGGATTTTCCATAGCCTTTGCCCTTGCTCTTGCCTTTCGGCTCGCCCTTGCCTTTGCCCTTCCTATCGAAGTCCTTGCCCTTGCCTTTGCCTTTGCTGTAGTCGTTGCCCTTTCCTTTGATGCGGTCAATCTCCATCGGCGCCACACCTTCTCCGCCTCCAGGATCAGCTCCGAGCATCATCACATTCGTCCACTTCATCGTCGCGTTGTCATACTGCACGATGGCCTCTCGGAGCTTCTGGTAATCCTGGAACTCGGCAACGTTCAGCTGGAGCCACATTTTGAGCTGTCCGCTGATGCATTTCATCAGGACTGCAAAGCGGATGTTGTCTTCCAGCTTTGAACCCGTTTTCTCATACTCCACAAAGGCCTCTTCCAAGCGTAGGAGTTGTCCAAGAATGCCTCCTTTCCTCATGTCGAAGGGCTTCCACTCCAAGATCATGGTCAGCAGACCTAATGCACGATTCTTGGAGGTGGGCTCGAGGCTTTGGATCAAGAGGCGGTAGGCCTCCATGCCATTGGACTCCTTCACCTGGCGGATCATGGCGAGAGGGCGTTGCTTCACAAGGGATGCTAGCAGTGAATACAAAAATTTGCTTCGTTGCTTCTCCTCATCAGACTGGATGCTGGAGTCGATCGGGTCATCTGGCCTTGCCCTGATATCTTTGAAATCTTCTGTGAACATGCCGTTCAGGGAGGACAAATATTGTTCAAGGCCCCAACTGAAGTCCCTCCATTGGGATAGTTCCTCCTCCCTGGTCTTTGCGTCCAGCTGTGAGGGTTTTGGCAAAACCTTAAACCAAGTTTCCTCTCCACCTTGCCGTCGACTGAGGGCCTCCGCGGCCGATTGCGCAGCCAGAGCAGCCGCTTCAGCGGCTTGGATCATCCTCATGGCGATCTCTCGCCCTTCTCCACCTCCTGCTGCAGAGGAAGGTGAAGCTCCAGCTTCTCCAACTCCAGCCATGGCCACCAATCTCAACTTCAGGGACTTTCTTCAACCTTAGGATGTAGTCCACTGCAGGGCAAAGGGCCTATGGCGCCAAATGAAAAAAACAAGAGCCTCCACCAATCCCTACGGGATTGGCTTCTCAGGCTCCGCTACCATGCGAAGCTTTTCTGCTCGGGCAAAGTTGCGGTCTCATGTACAAGCTTCTTGATTTGTGCGTGTCATCTTAGATGATCTACCGCTCATGAGTGAGTGCTTGCTATGGACTTTTGCAAAAACTGTTTGTGGGAGACTCTTTCAATCCCGCCAGGTCCTCCTCCATGACTTTGAAAATCATTGCCTGCAAAGCGGCTCCATACATGACCACCAAGCAAAGGAGTGCTAACGGTCTCGATATCATGGGATAGCGCAAGGGGGCCAAAACATCTCGAGGAATGCCAGGCATGGGCTTCGATGGGGCATCCATCTTGAAATGCAATGCGGTCAGCAAGATCAAATCAGCAAGCCCCAAAAAAAGGAATGGCAAGAAGGACTCGATTGCAAAGCAAATGCCTCCGAAGGGTGCACCACAAATTAAACCCAGCCACACGCTATATGTGAAAAGGCCTCTGCCTGAGTCACCAGTTTCCTTGGTAGCGTCCCCCATCATCGCTGAGATTGCACCCAGCATGAGGGCTGAACCTACACCCTGGGCGGCACGCGCGGCAAACCAAGCGCCCAAGCTTGGGGTAAAAGCTTGTAGAAAGAGCCCAGCACTTTGCAAAAGCAACCCAAGCTTCATGGAGTGCAGCTCCCTCTGGCGAGTGAATTGGATGACCAGCGGGGTGGCCAGTGCCTGCCCCAACGGCTTGGTTGCCACCAGCGCTCCTAAACTGAATGGGTCTTCAGCCACCAAAGCGAAAATGGCCATGGGCAACTCCGTGCAAAGGGAGTCTGCACAGGTGATCATTGTAGCCAGGGCCCATCTGGGGCCTGCAAATGCCACTGCGCAAATTGGGATGAGCAAGAAGCAAATCAGGTATATGCTCAGGTGCATGTTCTCCATGCCAATCCACGCATCGCCTTCACTGACACTATGTAGCGTCACATTTTCGATGGAGATCTGCAAGAATGAGGTCTCAATGCCTGCCTCTAATTGGCAGTCTGCTCTGGCATGACTGAGCAAAAGCCCAACCCACGTGTAAATCATGAGACACCTCAAACCATCGATTGGGAACGCTTCAGGCCCAAGAATTTCAGCGAGCGCAACAATCGATCACTGGCCTCGTGGCGGGTCGATTGCAAATAAAGTCCGGTACGGTTAGAGATGATCTAGAGCCCCAAGGCTGCAATCAAACATGATCAAGTCATGCTTTGTAAAAGCGACTGACACACATGTGGAATCCAACGGGACTGGCGCACGAGGCAGCCAAAACATGACTCCACGTGAAAAACCTGTTTAAAAATTGCATGCTATGCTATGCCTCAAACAGTTTGCAACACATCAAGATCCAAGGGCGAGGCCACCCAGAACACATGACCTCGAAGAGGGTGTCCTGCAAAATAGGTCAAGTACTTTCGCATCTGCAAGGTTCTGAAAATCCTGGCCGCAATTGCTCAATCTTAGCTCGATTTTGAAAGGTTCCAAGCCTACTCTACAATGAGATCGGGAAGGTGCAAACAAGCAGGCTTTTGGGGGCCTGGGCCATGCAAATGCCTTGACTAGGCTTCGGGCCGAAAGCATGCGAATTCAAAGGATTAATGAGGAAAGTTGGAAACTGGGAACATCAACGGCAAAACGAAACTTTGCCAAGATTCAAAACATATCGCTCACACAGTGGCAACCCCCAAAAAAGGAAACACCACGTACGACACCTCATCCCCCCCTCATAAGCCCTTATATATTTCTGGGCAAGAATTGCAACAAACCACCACCAACCCTTCCGAAAGACTCCATAGCACAACAACGCAAATTGTTACAACGCCACTACGAGAACCAACCAACCAACCACTTTGGTAGTGCAAATTTGTGTTTGATGTTGCCATTGTGTATTGATCGGAATACTTTTGAATGTCCTATATAATTGTGAAGGTATGCAGGCGTTAAAATTAACGGCAGCAAGGCAAGGCCGTAAACATACTTACATAGTGTAAAGATTGGTTCCACGTCAAGTTGCGCAGTGTACATGAACCTCCAGCCACACATAAAAAACATACAGCAGCCGCGTCCTGCTTACTTCAACTGTTTCTGACGTCACAGCCCTGTGCCTGTGCAACGTAAAAAAACATTCCTCCGGGAAACTATGGCATTGTAAAGGGGATCGGAAAAATACCCGCCCGCACCGAAGGGGTTGGGGCGTGTGTATCCGGATGGCATAGGCATAGTCAATCGCAAAAATAAAAAACAGGTAAAACCGGCATAAACAAACACCAGCGGCTTCATGCTATGGCTCTAGCTGGCTAGGGGCTCGTACATGGCCAAACAGAACTAGGCGGTGGAATTAAAAACTGTTGAAAAACAGTTTGTCACAAAAAGCACGCGTCACAGAAGGTTCCGCAACATTAACGCACTCTACCAACAACAAGTCTAGAACCTGCGCTAAAGATCACAGTGTCACAGCCTTGCTAGATGGCAGGTTGCCTCCTTCCTTTGGCTGTTCCCACGGTTTGCCAGTTTTGAAAACTACACAAGGTAAAAAAATACTATGATTCAGACGCAAACAACACTGACGCCTACCACCACTGCAATTACAACCACAAATTGGTTATAGCCACAACCAGTACAACTATCGATATGATGCGATACAATACTATACTGTACCATTCCATACCATACCATACCGTACCATACAACACTACTATTCCATACACCACTACTATTACTATAACTAATACTGTTACCAACACTAACAAAAATACTAATACTAACACTAATATCAAACCTATCACTATTAACATTACTTTAAATATTACTATAAACAACTATTACTATTACTGTTCACGAGTACTCTTTTTTCTGTTGTCGAGGCATACGGAACACCATCACAGATCACAGAAAGGAAATAAAGAGATTGATTACAAAACGGTTCCCGGGGAGAGTGCCCGTTTGGCACCCCCACCTTATTAAAACGAAAACGAAGGAAAGCACCTACCTCAAACATAAAGAAACAGAGTGAAACTTCAGGCACGATGGCGACGAGCACGAAGGGAAAATCACGAACAGTAGCGACACCCGCCACAGAGGGCGGTAAGAAGGCTAAAACAATACTAATATTAATCCTAATACGAATACGAAAACGAATGCTAATACGATACGATACTATACTATTTCTACACGAAAACGAATACGCATACGAATACGAACACTAATACTAGTACTAATACTAGTACGAATATTAATACGAATACGAATACGAATGCGAATATTAATATTAATACTAATATTAATACTAATACTAATACTAATACTAATACAACACAAGACTGTACCATACTATACTCTATCATACTACATTATATAGTAGTAAGTTGGTTGGAACGGAGTTGTGTGTTGTCGGGGAGTTGGGTGGTGGGATGCACCGGACCATCATTGAAAGATTGATTCCTTAAACAACACTGCGTGCATAAGGCGTGATCACTGATCACCTACAATGATTTCCCGTGTCCGTGTGTTCCCTTTACGTTTCCCAAATGTTTTGCACCAGCTGTTTGTCCAGGGGTGCTCGAGTTTTGGGAACTCAAGGTCCGGGTGTTAAGCCAGGGAGGGAATGTGCGACTATGTTTTGACCCGGCCCGGTGAGTGTAGACACCTACGTACAAGTCCCATCACTCAGCGTTCGCCGCGAAACGCACGCAAGATTTTACTGCCGTGAACAATGACCACTTGGACAACCAGAACGAGGTCTACGCTGGGGATGAGCCAGCAAACAATTGCAACAATACAGTGCGGGAGTGGAGTCGGAATTCCCATGTTCAGCAACGTAAAATGTTCCCCCTGCGACGCACCATTGGGAACCTGGAACCTGCCGTCGGTTCGTAATTGTTCCATGTGCGAGGCCCTAGCTTTGCTATAGGACAGTTATGGGTTTGCCCTGCGAGATCCGTCTGACTGGAAGTGGCCAACATGCCTCAAACGGCCAAGCTGAGAGAGCTGTACAGACAGTACGCAAGATGGCAAACTGTTTGCGGTCATTTGCCGAGACCAAGGCTCACATCCAGAACGATGGGAGCATGTACCCATGGGCATCCAGCCATGCACCATTCCTCATTTATCGCTTCAGGGTACTGGAGAAGATTGGCCGCACCAGCTATGACGGATGGCGCCTCACCTGCGCACACATATTTCGCCTCACCTGCGCACACAGACTTTTTTGTATATTTAACCCACCTGCGCATACACGATTCGCTTCAGCTGCGCTCACATCGATTACATTCTTCTTTAAACAGCCCATGTAACCTCAAACTCAGCTGCGCACACATGATTCGCCTCACCTGCACATACACAACGTCCCTCTGGACATTCATCTACGTGATGATCTCTTTTTGCTCATTGTTTCCACAGTACCACGGTGTACAGCCGAGCAAGCCGCGTGCACAGCCGAGTAAGCCGCGTGTACATCCGAGTAGCGCGTGTACAACCGAGGTAAATTCTGCGCGTGTACAGGCGAGGCAAATCCGCGTGTACAGCCGAAGCTCCGCCCGCTGTGACTTGGCAACTGGACATGCCTAAATGGGAAGCTTGCATTGTATGGAGAAACCGTGCTTTTCAAACGTCTGGTCACATACAAAGCCAGTGACACCTTTGAGCGCGGCATGTTGCTGGAATGATCAACATTTGATCCTCACACCAGAGGGAGCCAAGAACAATCAGAAGGTGTGCACCCGAGGAGTGCTTTCGAGCTACAGACATGGTGATCGCCAAGGGTTTGCCGTGGAGCTACTCACCACAGGGAATTCTGATGCACCATGGAGGACAAGCTCACGTCAGAGGCAGGGGTGAAAAAAATCAAGCCAGTAGTGAGGCCAACACCAGGCTTACATGGACAGCCAAACACACCTGCAGTAGCAATGGGCGCACCTACAATATCAGCACCTACGCCATTGACACCGAGGATAAAGAGATCAGCAAGGGAGACGGTGATCGATGAGCCAGAAGAGAAGAGACAAGATAGGACGGAGTCACTGAGGAAAGGCAATGAGAAGAGAGAGCCCCAGGAGGAGAAAGTGAAGCCAGAGAAGAAACAGAAGAACCAAGAGGAAAGAGGAGCAAAGGAGACAACCGCACCTTCGAGCGAAGATTTCAAGGCTGTACCCCCGCATTTTGCAGGGATACGAGCTACCGATATCGAAGCACATGGCGATGAAGAGTTCGACTACACCATGGTGCCAGAAGAAGTGAATGAGGAGTTGCAGGCGAATGAAGGAGAAGATGAGGAACCACCAACCACAACAGATTAGCACCTCAGGATGTTGGACTATGAGGCAAAAAATGAGGTCCCGTGATGGAGGAGGTGAACCCAAGAAGGAAATGCAGAACAATGAAGGCTACTGATATCCACGAAGTTCGTCTACTGCTGGAAGCATAGGGTTGAACGTGGAGGATGGTTTCGCAGAGCACATCTGGTGGCAAGACAGTGCAAGTCTAGCGTGGACATGGAGCAATTGTTCGCCCCGACATCAATGCTATGTAGTAATACCAAAGTTGTTCATCAACCTCATGCTCAAGGTATTCAGGCATTTCGTGGCCATGACGTTAGACATCAAGAACGCATATTTGATGGCTGTTCAAACTGAAGATGGGAAGGCCTATGTGGAAGTTGATGGCAAGGTCTACAGTGCTTGCCAGGACAACGAACAGCAGCATCGCAGTGGCTTCACTGGAGCTGCAAAGGAGTTTGGCATGGAACAGGGTGTCATGCAGCCCACATTGTTGATGACACAAGGTGGTTTACATCACAGTCCATGTGGACGATGTCTTCATGGTGGGAGACGAGAATGCCCTGAAGGAATTTGTCGACTTCTTGATGGGGAAAAAAATCCTACCTGAAGAGGGAATTCAAGTTGGCGTGCCATTTTTTTTTCTCGCGCCTTTTTCTGCGTGAGTTAGGTCGGGTGGCTGCTTTGACAGTTTTTATACTGGCCTGTCCCCAGATGTGCAAAGTCCAAAGTCCAGAGTCCCACAAGGGGGGGTCAGTGGCTCGGGAGTCTTGAATGGGCTGGGGGCTCTGGGCATTGGGGGCGCAGGTCGTTGAGCTCAGGGAGGCTGGTATCGATGTTGGAGTGGTTGGCAGAGTCTTCGAACAAAAGGCTGGCTGCGAAGGTGCGACTGGCGGCCGCGGAGAGGAGGGCTGACCAGCGGGCTACGTAAGCTGCGACTGCCGAGGCCCGAAGTTGTTGCGGAACGCCTTGAGCCCGGGTCTTGGCCAACAGCCGGAGGAGATGGACCTGTTCAAGAAAGCCTGCAGGAAAAATCCCATAGAACAAAGCTCCAGCAAGAGAGATGAAAGTGAAGAACTTCAAGGAGGCGAAGTAACGAGGTACAGGAGTGTTGCTGTACCTCGCAGGAGAACGCCCTGATGCACAGTTCGCTATTCGCCCCACGAAGCAAACCTGAAACAAAGCATGGCATGTGTGCCATTAAAGGCACGGAGGGCTATGGAGTGAGGGTGTCGGCGGGGGCCAAAAGCCAGTCAGTCATGAATGTGAAGGACTCCAAGGACGTTGGGACAAG